TCGACCACCTGCACCGTGGCTTAAAGATCCAGCCATTGCGGAACTCAAGGAACAGAGAGACCGACTACGATCTGATCAACCAAGAGAAACTTCCTGGAAAGAATTTTGTCATCTAAGAAATCAGAAGAAGTTTGGAAAGTAATTCACCGTATCCTACATCCGAGCCCCCGGCGTATAACTATGCAGCCAGACAAGCTAAACAATTTCTTTGCATCCACGGCCGAACGCACCATTGGCATCAACGCCCACCATGTTGATGATTACGCCTCAATTATAAACTTGATTCAATCACTCCCTGCAAACTTTGTTACCGGTTTTAAATCAGGACCGTTACTCTTTAAGAGGTCATTCATGAGTTACACAACATTCGATCAGACTGTTCATCTGGTCCTGATGACATCCCTGCAAACATGATCAAAATGGTTGCAGATTATCTGGGGTCTCCGCTCACTGATGTCATCAACACCTGCATCAAGAACTTGTACTTTCCATCTGCTTGGAAGCTCGCGCGCATCTGCGCGATTCCTAAAGGGGGCCAAATTAAATCCTAGAAAGACTTAAGACCTATATCAATATTACCAGTGCTTTCAAAGGTTTATGGACGACTGATTTTCCGTCAGCTGTCTGTTTTTATTGATAAGAACAATGTTCTCAACAATAACATTTCTGCCTATCGACTATTACTGTACTTCAAGCTATATCAGACGACATAGTAAAAGCCATGAAACGTTCGGAGGTAACTATGATGATCTTAGCCGACTTTTCCAAAGCCTATGATACGATCTGTTTCAGAAATCTCATCACTAAGATGAGTAAACTAGGTTTCCCTAGAGACTTCCTGATATGGACACTCAATCATATTATCCATCGTAAACGATTTGTACAGATCGATGACAAGTGCTCAGAGATTGAAAACGTGAATTTCAAGGTTCCGCAAGGCTCCATCTTGGGTCCGGTGCTATTCAATATTTATGTTGCTGATCTTCAGGAAAACGTAAATGTCAAATGCTTCCAGTATGCGGACAAAACAACAATCTACGATCATGCTTAAATATCTGACCTGAATAACTGTAGAAACACTATCTCCCAATCAATTAATAAATTAAGTGCCTGGTCTAAGCAGAGTACCCTCGCCTTTAACAACGACAAGACCAAGGTTATGATCCTATCCACCCTGCAAATGTCCAGAGTACATCACCTTGACGAGTATGATCCTAACATCGTAGTCAGTGGTTATAAACAAGAACGTATTAAATCTTGCAACTGCTTGGAGTTCACATCAATGAGCATCTTAAGTGGGACGATCACATCAAGCACACGGTATCTGGATGCTACGCCACTCTATCGATACTAAGAAAATTTAAATACCTGGCCAAATATGAGCTTAGATAGCAACTGGTAGAAACATTAATTTTGTCAAAACTAGGTTACGTCGATCTGGTTTTTTAACCTTTACCACAATTCTTACCTCGCCGTTTGCAACGAGTTCAATTTGCTGCCACAAGTTTTGTACTCGGTCACTATGTGTCACTGAAGAACTTTCGGGATGTACTGAAAATCGGATGGCTTCCAATCAATGGGAGAAGAGATTTGAACCTCCTGAAATTATCCTTTAAAGCTTTGCATAACACTGAGACTTTGCAGGGTTGTCAAAATAAGCCGGCAACCGGCGCATTTCACCGGCTATTCCGAATACTGCGCCGGCTACTCTGACAGCTAGGTTTGTTCTAGACATGGTATTGCGGAAATAAAACTGTTCAGTTAATAATTCGTTGGAAGCCAAATCGGAACAGAGGCAATAAAACAGTTATTTTGCCTAAAAAGTACAATCAAATTTGTGTGTGCCACAGATGTCGACGCGATTGGCCGCGCTTGTAAAAGCGTCAGTCAGTGCGATTGGAGATTGTGTTAGTCAATGCTCGAGGTTTCAATGAAGTTATGGCGAGCGGAGGCGGCGGAGCGAAACGAAATAGGACTTTGCTTGATTTCAATTTCATTAAAGGTAAGGGTAAGCGTTGATAAAAACTCGTCCTTTGCAGGTTTTTCATTGTGTGGGAAAACGATATCAGCCAGTGGACAGACCAAGGATTCAATACACCGGCAAAAGAGAAGTCGTTCTGGTTCACTGGTTCTTGTGACAGGGCTCGAAATAATTTCCGGAGAGTCTCCGGACACGATGACCGGTCAAATTCAATTTAGCTCTGTCACGTATTGTTTCTGTACTTTTGTAATACTTTTTTTCTTTCATTCGAATTATCCTTTCTTTTGTGTCTTCTTTCCTTCTTTTTTTTGTTTTTTTTTCTCATAGGGTTCAGGAGGAATGAATACGTGATAAAGTACTTTCAATCTGCTCCAGGACTAACTTACACCTAGTCGGTTTAGTTGGGTGCACGGAGAAAAGTAACGCCCTTTCTTGTATCTAACTCTTGAGGGAGGACAAAAGATACCAAACAACAGAAAATAAAGTGACGTATAATCAGCTCGCTTCGTTGTGGCGAGTAAGCCTTCGTTGCGGCAGCTAAGCCTCCGAACCTAGTCTAATTGCAGTATGAAACAGTATTCTTCACCCTTTACTGCTGCAATTATTATCATTTGTTCATTAATTCATTTACGTAATTGTCTCATGTTTGAAACTTACTATAGGTAACTTCGTGAAAATAATAGAATCAATGTAAAGCTGAATCTCTTAAGAAAAGTTTGCAAAGTCTTCTTTCAGCATAAATTTTTTGCCGTCATCAGTTTATCGGGTTGAATCCGTTAACTTTGATTTAACAAGTTCTGTTAGAATTACTTCACCAATTCAAGCGTGTAAAAACATAGTCAAAGGATACAACACAGTAGAATGATGATGTCATGAGTTTTTTCAAAACATGGCTTTAATAAATTATTAATGAAGTTATAAACATTTAAAGAAAATAGTTATTGGATTCTGAAATACATCCTTATGCAAAATACTTGTCATCTTCATCTTTTGTATTGTTTGTGTCATCACATTCCGTTGTTAAATTTTTGATGATTCCCTGTCAAATTTCGTTGACGATCTTCACCCATTTTATTTCGATTCTGCCGATCGAGTTTACTATGAAGCACTTGAGTCAATTGCATTGTAGGTTTTTTTAATTACATTTGCTGTCAGTCACTGAAAATAGCTAAACGCATCTCAATCGCTAATAGCTGCTAAAAATCATAACAAAACAAAACACGACAGAACAGAGAAAAACCAAAATTTAAATTGTTCGTAATACTAAAATCTTCAGAGTTTTTTAAACGACCAATTTTGACAGGTCGGTTATACAGTCCGATGACGCAAGCAAAATAGTTAGGTCATTCGTCATCAGATGGTTGCAAGCGTTAACGATCTCTCACTTGATTGGCTCATTTGAAATAATGATTATGCTAGTAGAAATGTCTTTTTTTTGGCACGATTATAGAAAATAAATTCAACAGTAGTTTAAATATGCGTATTAAAAATAAAGGAGATCTTAAGATAAAGGAGGGTAATGATAGAAGGTAATGACATACCTATCGGATCAGATCAATACTGGCAAATCGTGACAGGAGAAGTGAGAAGAGGAGAAAGTGGTCCAAAAGTTTTACATACAAGGTAGGTTTATGTGGACCCAATAAAGAGCTCAACTTGTGACTGTGACTCATCTGTTAACTTGGTTTCCAGAACCCATGTCCTAAGATGTGCTGCCGAACCGTCCCAACCTCTGAAGTTTGACCTTACTGGAGAGTTCAAACGCTTCGGGGACCTGGAGTCATTGGGAATATCGAGTCCTGAACAATAATTTCTTAATTATTTCATTGACAGCATCTCCTTTCAGCTAGGAAGATATGAGATACATCTATCATGGACGAATATTCAACCAGTTCTGCCAGACAACTATGAGACCAGCCACAAACGCCTGATTAGTCTATTGAACTGCCTGAGACGAGAACCGTAAGTTTGTTAAAATACGATGCCGTGATCAGAGACCAGATCGAGAAGAGGATTGTGGAGAAAGTCAGTGAATCAACGTCTGTTTGAGTTGGAGGGGTTCACTGCCTGCTTCATCATGCTGTCATTGGAAGAGATAAAGAGACAGCAAAACTCGGAATTGTCTATGATGCGTCCTGCAAGTGAAACGCAGTCTCCTTGAATGATTGTCTATACACCGGGCCAGTACTTTCGCAGAAGATCGTGGACATCTTCCTGAGATTTCGAACGCATAGAAAGGTACTGGCTGGAGATATTGAAAAGGCACTCCTAACTGTGTCGGTATCAGAACAAGATAGAGATGTCCCGAGGTTCCTGTGGTTTGATGATGTGAAGAAAGAGTATCCTGAAGTAGTTCTGCTG